AGGCTTATCACAGCCTACTCACCCATTTTTGTAATTTTATGTGTGCAGTTTCAAAACAGCAGCATCACTATGTTTTATTGCTAGAAATTACTGCTTAATGCCTGTACCCAAGATAGTATGAGAGATTGTGTATTAGATAGAAAAAAAATTGAAACACCGAGTTCAAAGAAGAGAGTGGGGAAAGGGAGATAATGTGATTTAAAGGACCCATGACAGCAAATACATTGGAACTCAGAGGGTATTTTACAGATGGCCTTTGTCTCTTCTCTCACCACACACAATCATACTTAGCTAAATGCTGACAAGGAAAGTATCAGTCGACTAATAATGGCAGTGGTGGCACTAGTCATCAAAGTCGTGGTATAGCTGTTGAATTGACTGTCTGCCAAGAAATATTTCTTTATATATGTCTGAGCAGACACTTGATCAAATTTGCTTCTGTGAAAGCTGAAGCCCAGGGACCTTATACATTTTAAGATTAAGTTACTCTTATGTGTGGAATTTTATAGGACAGCTGTCTTCACTGGACATAAGAAGACAGAATGGAAGCCCAGAGTGTGTTTTTAATACACCTTATTTTCCCCTTTAAATATGACTTCAGATCTATCTTATGAAACAAATAGGGTGTGTTCTTCTAATCTTTGTTTCAGCAGCATGTGATTTGTAGTTCGTATATGTGGAACACTGTGAGATCATTACAAACATGACCATGCAGGAAGTAAGGAAGGAGGATGCCAATGACAGACCACTAGCACTGAAGACAGAGGAAAAGCAGTATTCCTCCTTCCACTATTCAGGAAAAAAAACTGGTAAATTATGTGATGACCACGAATTCCTCCTATGGCATTATATCCATGTTTATAGTCTACTTGGCTGAGTCTTCCATCTACAGGCCATCTGCGAGTTGCCTGGATAGATAGAACACCATGATGGAATGCCTAGGAAATCAGGAGCATAAGTCTTCAGACACCTCAGAGCTTTGGGCTTCAACCATTTGGAAAGCTATTCACAGACAGTCTGTCAAGTTGGCCTACAGAAAGACCTCTTCAGAATGAGAGAGGCCCAGTTATTCTAGCTGTGTCAAGCAAGGCAAACCTCAGTTGACTAGTGAGCTGATCCAGACCCAGGAGGGAAGCTACAACTCACTTGCAGCTTTAGAGTGGATCGACATGGGGAACTACACAGTAGAAAACAATACCCAGATATGTGCTGACTCTGGCTTATAACTACTTATGCTTAACTTCCTAAATTTTTGTTTTATGTGTTCAGGTATATTATCTGCATTAATATCTGTGCTTCATGTACATGCAGAGCCAGAAGAAAGTATCAGGACTCCCTGGATCTGGAGTTACAGATGGTTGTGAGTCACCGTGTGGGTGCTGGGAATCAACCCTAAATCCTCTGCAAGAGCAGTCAATGCTCTTAACTGCTGAATCATCTTTCCAACCCAGTTATTATTATTACTATTTGTTATTAGAAGAAAAATTAAGGTCAGATTTGGAAGTGACCAAAATATATAAGGGCATGCTTTCCTGTTTCAAAAATGTATGTGGTTAGCTGGAATTTCAAACACGATTTTTCATTCCTAACTTTGAAAGATACTTTCCTTGCTTTTAATTTGAAAGATCATTCTCCAAAGCTAAATTTAAATATTACTCTAATATGATTTAACACTGAATTAGAAATTTGAGAGTTGAGGGTTAAATAACTTTTAGATTATCCCCTCAACTAGGGAAACTAATAGCATTTTGTAAAAATAGGATTAGGGATTTTTCCCCCTTAAACTTCTCAGTAAAGCAAAAGAAATATCTACAATCAAATTATCCTCAAAGCTTTAATTAAAGTCAGATCCTTAAGGAGAGTTCAAATTCCTTGGGTTTATGCTAAGCCACACAGAGTATTATCAAACAAGTATTTCTCAGTTCATTTTTAAATACTTCATACTGGCATCCCTTCATTCTTATGAGTTCACATGTTTATGACTTAACATTAATAAACATATCTCTACACACCAGCATGAGATCATTTCCTTAAAGAATACTGTTTGTGAGGCATTCTTTTCTGTATACCCACTTATCAAAATTCTGGCAAACATTCCAGGAGACTGAATTAGTTTGAAACACCCAGGCTTTCCATTAAGAAGTATTTCCCAAGGTGTCACTAGTGAATCTGGGGCAAAATACATTTGTATATAAGTTCCAATATAACGGTAAAACCTGACTGGAAATTCTGTATTTGCAGCAGAAGTTATACTCAGGGTTGCCATAGCAGCCACCCACGTTCTCCCTCACACACAAAGGGGTGGTGAGGAAAGAGAAGAAAGCAGTTAGGAGAGAACAGAATCTATTGTTGAAAAGACAGAGGTACCCATCAATATAATTACAAGCAGGGATTCTAACTCTTAGTCGGAACAGCATTTAATGACAGAAGATTCCTTAGCACTGGGCTGCTTTCTAATCTCATCTCTATCTGCACCCTCAGCTTTAAACTGTACTGGATGGTGAAATAATGTAAGAATAAGGGGGGTTGGCTAACCATGAACACGTAAGAGCCAGAAAACTTCAATGTTTCTCTGAGACATCTTGAAGATTCATTATGACCAAGAAAATCTGTGGTTCACTAGATCTGAACAAAAGACATCAATATCTCCTACTATAAATGGGAAGGATGAGTGTATTCAGCTACATAATGTGACATAGTTTCAAAAAAACGATTACACGTAATGAATTACGTATTCATTAAGTATTAAATATAAATAATCGTGAGTATATGCTGACATTTGTTAACATTTAAAATTAGTTAAATAATAAGTGAAGCCTGAACCACAGGAAGTGCTCACTAAATGTTTGGTAAAGTCATAATAATTAATTATTTTTAATACATTATTTGTCTTTATTAGGCCCAGAACAGTGCAGGATACAAAGCATGAGTTTCCAAACAAATGCTTGTAGGTGATCAGCAGAATAGAGGTAAGATAAAATGTGAAGATTCTTCTAGAACATAAGAGGCTATTTCAATGTCCCCTAGCAATGTCTTTGAAGGACTATTTAGGATACTAAAAAAGCTAAATATTTCATTCTAGTTGCATATTCATCACCATGGACAAAGGCTGAATACACAGCAAAATCCAACATCTATTAGTGCTAAAAGAGAGGACAGTATCTGGCTTCAGAAAGCACTGCGCAATTTTCCTTCCATCATTTGTTTGATCACATATTCATGTACAGATATATTTAGAGTCCTTACACAGATACAAAAAGTCAACATTAGGCTTAGATGAAGGCATAGATGAAAAACCGCCTTATGCCTTCTGATTCACTCATTTAAAATCTTCCCTGCACTGCTGAGTGCTGCATTTTCTAGCAGAGGAGAAGCCTGTAGTCAAGCAACTTGGTGAATAGGAAAGAATATGTGTGTTCGCACATTTCATTCAATAGTGAGAGGTACCTAGCAATGTATAGAATGCAAAGCTGATAGACTAAGGAAACTGAAGAATTTGAGGAACATACAAATTTTGGGGGGCAGAGTGAGAAGGCCAGGAGAGAGCCGGAGCAAACATTTTACAGCAGTCAGCAGGAAGTGGCAGACAAAATGACAGGCTAAGCTTCACTCCCAGAATGCTATACAAAATTTCTTGATGGGAAGTTTTTAAAGACCAGGTAGTGAAGGATACAATTATCTTGGTTTATAAGCTTCAAGAAGTTTCAGCCCAGATACTTGAGAAGCTAAGGTGAGCTGGTTGCCAAGGTTTGCAGCCTGCTTAGCTGCATAGTGAATTCTAGATGCATCTGACAGCAAGCAACAAACTTATCTTAAAAAAAAAAAGAAAAAGAATGACGGCAATCTAAAACTCTTAAACTCTGCACTCTGTGACCTCTAGATTTATCTTGCACTGGAAATGTTATGAACACTGGTACATTTTTCCTTATAAAGATTTCTTCTATTTAGGGACCTATTTCCTGTCTTGGAGAGACAGCACTGTGTTATGCTTGACACTCTGCTTTTAGTGGTGTATGATTGTATTAGGAAAACTCCCATCACCAAAGAGTCTCTGGAGCATTAAAATAATTCTGATTTTTCATAACTAATTAGGAATAATAGAATTTGGTTTCAGGCTGGGCCAGATTTTATTTATTTATGTATTACAAACCTTTTCTTGATGTGTTGAAATCAGAAGGGAGTAGATCTTCGAACCACAGAGAAGAAGAGGACCCAAAGACCTACCTCTGTATCCTCTGTACTTCTCAACCCACAGAAAACAAGTTCAAAGTTCAGCTCCAAAGCTGCATACCTCCTGGGGAACCTGAGAAAGCTGACTGAGGGACATGCCTGTTGGGGTCAAGAGCTGCCTGCCACAGCTACCCCTTTCTCCATCCCTGCTGTCTGTAACAAATCAGCTATGATTGCTCATCCTCACCTCTAGATCTTAGGTTGCTTATATGCAGATCCTGGCCACTATTACCGAAATGAGGGCAAATACTCAAGAATAAAAGGAAAACATAATTTCTAAAGGTATTTTGATTAGTTCTATGAGTAAATATAAAAATACTGATTGAGACATTATGATGATGTAATTACCAATAACAAAAGCACTTTCTAAAATAAGAGTTACTTCTCTCCCAGAATCAGGCAACCTCAGAGCTTGAGTAGGCAGCCAGGAGCCCAGACAGTTCTCTAAATTATGCTATTAGAACTTAGTGGGGAATGCAACAGAACTAATTTGTTTCTGTTAAGTTTTATTTAATATAAAGGCAAATATATTTACAAACAGATATTTCAATCACAATATATCTTTATAAGCTACCCACATATGTCCACAAGAGAGCCAGCTGAGTTAATGTTATTCACAGTATAACCAGCAATTATTAGAAACAAATTAAACATTGAAAAGAAAATATTAGTTTTCTATATACAACTCTCATTGTGGTGCAGAAAAGCATCCCACACTTGGAAATGGGAAAAGACATTCCTAGGACTATGCATTGTTGAACATTACTTACTGTCAGATACATGGCAGCATAGACACTGAGGGCAGCCTCTTTGGATGGGAAGGTTTTCCTTGCTCGCATGATGAGATCTGGGTTGCCTGTGCACGCTTCCTCCCCACTGATGAACTGTGTATACTGTTGACACCCAAGAGCTGTGTAGTTGGGCTTACACAAGGCCAGAAAGTGTGGAGCCAAGTTGCCTGTAACCACTTGCCCAGCATTTACAAAGATATCTGTAGCAAAGAGTCCAAATGTATAAATTCCTGGGGAACAAAGAAAACAAACAACGTTAGCTTTCTTCTTTTTAAAAAATGTATTCTATAACAATCCAATATGGAAACATTTTAGAAATTGTAATGCATTCCGTAAGTACATGTACTCAGTTCTTTCCATTTTACTGCTCCCTAGTTTCTGCCTTGGCTTTCTGGAGTAGTTAAGGGTGTTAAATTATTTAACATATTGAGCTATCTACCACTGGCTACATTTTCATGCATGGCATGTTTGTGAGGCGTAAGATCAAAGAAGAAAATATATTCTGAGGTGGTGTTTGGGTGATGCAGGTTTTGAAATAAAGAGACAGACCCCAAACAGGGTGCAGTTTAGTAATGTTAGAAAACTCTATTTTTCCTATTTTTGACATTTTTATGACACTAACATAAAGCAAAGCAGTTGTATCTCTCTTTGATTATGCATCCTAAGCCCACTCAGATGGATAACACCTCTGCTGGAGGTGCCAGCAGTAAAATCCAGTGTCATCAGTTTACGTTTAAATATCATGGAGAAATCTTCAGCAGAATATTCTTGGATTCAATCTCTACATTGCCTTCAGAAACACATTTTCCAAAGGCACAGAACAGCTACCATGTGGTCCCACTTTATCTGTTAGAGATTTGCTTTCTAGTTATCTATTTTGGAACAAGTTGGGAAACAAGCAGGCAATCAATGTTCTAATTCTAGACTGTGTTTGCAGCATTAAAATTCCTTTACTGTGGCTACCTGAAAGTACAAACCTAAGTACACAGATGTTCTTTCTCCTTTGTAATAAGCTTAAGAATTACTTGAATTTGTAAAGCTCTCTCTAATCAGGATCACTGGACATTCCTACATGAAAGATGCAAAAGGCCTAATACGTTTCCAGTGTTACATATGCAGATGTTCTTTTATTTTTTAAAATCTTATGGAGATTTGCTTATGAAAAAACCTATTTTCAGTAAAACAAATTTTGTCATTGACAACAATGATATGCATAAAATGTAAGTTTCAATGTGTGTTTTTGCTGTAAGGAAATCCACTGGTTTCTAATTTGAGGTAATAAAATCCACTAGGATTTTTATTTTATTTTTATTATTTTCAAGCTTTACTTATTTATTTTCTAAGTAGGTGTGTACATCTGAGTATATATTTGTGCACCACATCTATTCAGGTTCCCACTGAGGTCAGAAGATGGCACTTCAAATCACCTGGAAATGGAGTTACAGATGGCTGGAAGCCACTGGATGTGGGCATTGGGAATAAAATCCAAGGTCACTGTAGAAGCAGGATGAATTTTTAACTGCTGAGCCATTTCTCCATCCCCAAGAACTTTTAAACTTATAGAAAAATATTTCCCCAAAGAATTGACCTATTAAAATGTCATATTAATTTTATTTATAAAAAATAGATGTTTTTCTTCTTAGTTGCATAACCATTTCTCCATCCCCAAGAACTTTTAAACTTATAGAAAATATTTCCCCAAAGAATTGACCTATTAAAATGCCATATTAATTTTATTTATAAAAAATAGATGTTTTTCTTCTTAGTTGCATATTTCTGAACATTTTTTTCTAAGCCTTCCATCATAACTGGCTGTTGTATTAGGAAGTCATCATGAAATTGGAAGGGATCAAATATTTTTCCAGTATTAGAAGTATGGATGTTCTTTTAAATTTCAAAATGTTACATAAGATTTCTTTATGCACAAAAATCTACACATAATAAAACTCTTAGTATCCAAATGTCAAGGTGATAGAAACATTGATTTTTCTATTTTAAGTTCCAAAGAAAACAGCAAGAATCCCTTTCTTGACTCCTAGCAGTGTGTCATGAGTCATACCAAGGAAAGACTAGGTAGGAAAAGCAGAAAATCAAGAGAAGCAGAGAACTGGGAGCAAACTAAGGCCAGTAAGATGCATACATACTCTGTCCTTCAAAAACCTCTAAGCGAGGCACTGGCATCTATATCTGTACTCCTTTGAAATGTAGGCTAAAATGTACTCATTTCTTAACTAAGCTTCTCTTTATATCTAGTGTAATAGGTCCCCTTGTTTAAAATAGAAATATTTGGGAAGAATATAGAAATGTCTCTTGATACTTGAAAAGTTCTGGAATATGTCTTAGAACTAAAATTTCTATGTATCACATCCAAAGCTGGTATTGCTGTTGATGGCACAGATAATTTTCAAAATGGGATCCTGTAGGCATAGCCACCCTTTTGACAGAAAGCATGAAGTCCCTATGCAAAATATGCAACAGTTATTCAGTGTTGCTTCAGTTACAAGCTTTTATTTTCTTATAACAGATTTGAAACTTCAGGTCACCATAAAGGAACCAAACAGATGAAAATTGATATAATCAGGAAGAAACACGGCATGTAATAGGCACACTGTACAATGTGACACATGCTCTTTACAAACATGCATGCAAATGCAGAGAATGTTTTTCCTCAACAACACAACCAACTTTGCTAAATAGCACTTAGGAAAGTACTGGTTTCAAGCACTTTTAGTCTTGCAGATGTCGTTGCTTGTTACTAATTTTGTTATTAAATGCCTCACATACAAAGAAAAATGGATCAAAAGCACATTACATATACAAATGAAAAATAAAATTTTAAGATGTATGTATCTTGAAAATGAAATCTAAATATTTTATATAATCTTATATATTTTATTATTATATAATATTCATATATTTTATATAATATTGCTTCAAAATATACTTGGGGGTGTTAGAGATACTTAACTTGATGATAATGAAAAGTTCAATATTCCAAAAAAAGACCCTTAATCTTCAGAGAAGCCTATGGTCCTGATTCTTTATGCCTAGTCTCTAGTTTAGTAGCTATAGGACAGTATGCTGTTTGCTGTCTCCAAAGTTTTCATCTTGATCCCCATAACATGAGACATATCCTGAAAAGTTGCAGGCTTCTTGATGAATCTCTCAATGTTCATCACAATTCATCTTACATGCCTTTTAATTCATATGGCTGCAGTCATTATAATCTATCAAACCAGGAAATTATAATTGACGTTGAACTTTGTTGTCCAGTGAAGTTGGTTTGTTTGCATTTCTATTGCACTACAAGGATGCTTAGTAATTTGTCATTTGTTAAGTGCTAATCTTTGCAGGGTGAATTTCTAAAGTATTGGTGTCTCTTATTCTCTAACAAAACTATTGCTTTAATCCCAGCACTTGGGAGGCAGAGGCAAGCGGATCTCTGTGAGTTCAAGGCCAGCCTGTTCCCCAGAGCAAGTGCCAGGAAAGGCTCCAAAGCTATACAGAGAAACCCTGTCTCGAAAAACCAAAAAAAACAAAACAAAACAAAACAAAAAAAACAACCAACAAACAAACCTATTGCTATAACTTGGTTTCCATGAAAACCAGCTCAGGACTAGTGCAAGGGGCACAGCTTATAACAAACAAACCTATTGCTATAAATTGGTTTCCATGAAAACCAGCTCAGGACTAGTGCAAGGGGCACAGCTTATTAAATATGACATTCCTCCTTTTGCCCAGTTACTGTTCTTGGTTGATATACTTACAGTTATTATTTCTCCCATGCATTCATTCTGAAGCTTTATAAACACACTAAGTCATTTATTTTGATTGCATAATTTAGTTTCTTTAAAAATACTATTCATGGGTTGTAGTCTTTCCTTCTTAATGTGGAAATTGCATTCTGGTTGTTGTTGTCTCTTATATGATCATCTTTGTGGACAAGAATAAAAGTAAATCAATGGATACATACCAAGAAATCGGACAGTTCGGCGTACCAGTGGGTTTATATAGCAACAGTCTCCAGTTAAAATAGTTTTTTCCTGGTTTTCAAAATCTCTTGTGGCTAATTGCAGGCAAAACACAGCAGTTTCTCCAACTATTATCTTGCAAAAAAAATAGATTAAAGAGTGTTAGAGTTTCACTAATATGAAAGTTATTTTTATTTAAAAGGTTGTAACTATCTCAATATAAAACTGAAGCACAATTGCTAGGTAAACCATTTAAGTTTTATTTTGTCAGAAGACATAAATCATATTCCTCTCAACTTTAAGAAATATTAAAATGACAGATTTTTAAAATAAAAACATATTATATGCTTGATATATATAAAAGTTCCTAAGGAAATTCTCAGTTATTCTAGTGCGTAATTTTCACTTTTGAAAAACTGACTTACCTTGCTAAATCTGAGTCTTCTCTAAACTTCAAAATAGTTTTTCTCTTATTAATGTATATATATATATATATATATATATATATATATATATATATAATATGTATGAAAAAAAATGGCACATATGTATGAATAAAAATGGCACAGTGAAGCCCATTAATTTGTGCTCTTAGAATTCATGAAGAATTACCATGATAAAAGATGATGATAAAATATATTTTCTATAAATATTTTTAGAAAGGTCTTGTATAGGCCAGGCGATGGTGGCACACTCCTTTAATCCCAGCACTAGGGAGGCAGAGGCAGGGAAATCTCTATGAGTTCGAGGCTATCTTGGTTTACAGAAATAGTACAGGATAGACTCCAAAGCTACACAGAGAAATCCTGCCTCAAAAAAACCAAAAAAGAGCCTTGAATGGATATATTGCTTTGAAAACATCAATATCACATTTTTATAAGGAAAAAAAACAACTCATGGATGTTTGGCCTTGTGATGATTGTATTCTGAGACATTATGAAGAAGTTTTAACAATTAATCTATTATTTACATCTTACTGAGAATGTGTTATTTAATCTTCATCAGACATATGAAGTAGAATATTGCCATACCTCTTTACAAGTGAAGAAATGGAGTGCTTGCTCAGGAATTAGTAATGAGGACTATGTTTTGGCCTGGCTTATTTCTTCTTACTTGCAAAGACCTGTCTATGTTCTACTAATCATTGTACAGTTGCAGTAGTTTTCAAACATTTCCACAGTGAGGTGTTAGAGCAAGAATTCCTTCATTTTATAGATAAGGACATGGAAACTTGGGGAGTTAACTATTTAATTCTCTTTGAGATTAAAAGAAGTCAAGCAAAAATTTTTTACTTAACCTGAGAACTCAGATTTCATTTAATACCATGGACAAAGCATAAGACAGAAAATTCATGCAGAAGTTTTAACAGGATGGATCAGCAGGTAAAGTATAATACAAGCTCAGCTACACAAGTTGGATCCCCAGAACCCATGGAAGGAAAGAAAAAAAGAAAGAAAGAAAGAAAGAAAGAAAGAAAGAAAGAAAGAAAGAAAGAAAGGAAGAAAGAAAGAAAGAAAGAGTTATATTCTAATATCCATATGCACACCATGGCATGGGTATCTACCCAATATTAAGAAATTGAAATAAATTTTATGTTAAAATTAAGTGAAAAAGAAACTGGAGCTAATCATTTGCCTCCTAATTTGTCCCTGTTAGTTTTGAGTTTAGTCTTGTTATTAGTCTATGTTATTAGTTATTTAGTCTATGTTATTAAGGTTAATTAAGACTCTCTAATGAGAGAACAGGTACAAGCCATGCCAGCTAGAAAAATAGAACACACAAACCAGAAGAACACACAAGAGAACTTGGAGAGAGACTCCCAGCTTGACCAGAGACCATACAGCACCCATAACTTCAGACAGGTGGTTATGGACCTTCTCCACTGCCTAAGTGCCTCCCCACACTATCCCAGGTCTCTGCTTTCTTCCTCATCACCTTGCCCCACACCCCCAACAGGACAGCCCCTGTTAGGCCAAAGGCCAACTTAGCTGCCAGAAGTCCAGCCCCCAACTGGGACAAAGACTCCCTGTTATAATGGCTGTCAGAAATATAGGCTGAAAAGACCAGAAGGTCAAAGAGAAAACAGAAACCAAGGAGAGGGTACACCCATCCAACAATGAAAAACTCAGAAATCAGTACCTAGATCTAAAATCAAACCCAAGTGCATTGATGCCAGTGTAAGTACACAGTTAACAACAGCCAGGGCAAGATGTCACCATCAGAATCTGGCTATCCTACTATAGCAAGCCCTAAATGTTCTAACACAGTTGAAGGACAAGAAAACAACCTTAAAACAAAACTGTTCCAAATAAACTGAACTTTCCCCAGGCCACTAAAGGGACTTGGCTCCAAGAACGAGATTGCACAGAGTTTTGAAGGGTTAGACTACACCCTGATGACAGATACTCTCTATTTAAACCTAAACTTCTAGGCTAGAAGGATGGCTTAGCAGATAAAAAACACTACTCTTCCAGAGAACATGAGATTGGTTCCCAGTACCCATACTAGGTGACTAACAACAGCCTAGAACACCAATTCCAGGGAATTCAGTTCCCTCTATCAGATCCTATGGGCACTCACACAAGAGGCATTCTCTCTCTCTCTCTCTCTCTCTCTCTCTCTCTCTCTCTCTCTCCCCCCCCACACACACACACACACACACACACACACACACACACACACACACACACACACACGTCTTAAAAACTATATAAAAGAATAAGAAATCTAAACTTCATATTAGTTTCCCAAAGAAGGGCATGGAGGGGCAGTGGGCCTTTGTCTTCGTTTCTCTTCCCAATGTGGCCATAATGAATATACCTTTTTCTGTTTTTCATGATTGCTTCTCTGTGTAACCAACCCATTGAGGATGAATGGCCAAGCTGAGGATGTTAGGGTTGCCAATGCAAAGGCTGTGACCTTGGAAACTCCAGTAACGACAGTCTCAGGTATTTTGTTATAGAAATGGAAAACTACCTAAAACATCAAAGAAATTTTTTGGCGAATCTACAAAAATCAATTTCTATGATAATAAGATACTTAAAATATTAATGAAAGGTAGAAAAGAAGGAAATCACAGGAGGTTTGAAGTTTAGCGGACATCCATACCACTTCCAGCTTGGGTATCTTTTCCTGTTTTCTTCCTCTGCTTCCTTTTGTTACTGTATCTATCCATGTATTCATTTATTTATTTTTACCCAAGACAGTAAGAATTCAAAGTTAAACCAGAATAAACTGAGGTGAGCTGTATTTAAATCTGGTCTTCTTTGTCTGGAAAGGCTGGGTTGTATTAAAAAAGATTAGAACTTCCTCCTGCATTTTAACTTCGGCGTTAGTGGAGTAGATCAGCTGTGTGATAAAACAGTTCATCTCTGGCCAAAGAAGACACAGAACTATTTTTCATGACTATGTCATCCATCACCAGGAGAAGTTAAAGAGACAAGCTGTGTGTTTGATATTTCCTTAGCTCCCTCTCTGAATAAATCCCTCATATCATCGGTATTCTGGGATGCTTCTCAAAAGAAATGACCAGTGTGAGGCTTTCTGGGAAAAAAATTAACTTGCAGTTTTGCCACAAAATATTCCATATTCTAAGAATTTACCATCTACTTCACTGCATGACTTCTCAGTTCCCTACACAATTGCAGCATTCCTTCTTTGCACCATGGCAGTTGTCACTGGACCTGCACTTCTTCACTGACATTGCCTCATATGACCTTGAACCCCCTCTTAGGCTGTGAACATACAGAGCTCCTTAAAAAATTGTGGATAGTTCAGGCAAATGAGAATCAGTCTACCACATGATCCAGCAATTCCACTCCTAGGCAAACACCCAAAAGATGCACATTCATACAAGGACATCTGTTCAATGATGTTCATAGCAGCATTATTTGTAATAGCCAGAACCTGGAAGCAACCTAGATGCCCCTCAACTGAAGAATGGGTAAAGAAAATGTGGTACATTTACACAATGGAGTACTACTCAACAGAAAACAACAATGGAATCTTGAAATTCTCAGGCAAATGGATGGCACTAGAAGAAACCATCCTGAGTGAGGTAACCCAGTCACAAAAAACAAACATGGTATGTACTCACTCATTTTTGTATTTTAGGAATGGAGCAGAGGATTCTCAGCCTACAATCCACACTGCCAGAGAGGCTGGGAAACAGGGAGTCCCTTAAGAGAGACGTGCATGGTACCCCAGAGAAGGGGAAGGGGATAGGATCTCCTGGGAAGATTGGGATCATAGGGAGAGGGGAGAGGAAGCTGGGAGAAAAAGAAGGGGAGAAGAAGGGGGAGAGAAGGAAATGGGGGAGCAGGAATTTTGAGTTGGGGAAGAATAGAGGAGAGCAGGATGAGAGATATCATAATAGAGGAAGTCATTATAGGTTTAAAGAGAAATCTGTCACTAGGGAGATTTCCAGAGATCTATAAGATGACACCAACTGGCAATCTAAGCAATAGTGGAGAGGCTACCTTAAATGCCCTTCCCCGATAATGAGATTGGTGAGTACCTTATATGCCATCCTAGAGCCCTCATCAAGTGGCTGATAGAAGCAGAGGCAGACACCCATAGTTAAACACTGAAAACTTCTGGAACCCAGTTGCAGAGGGAGGAATGAAGAGCAAAGGGATCAAGATTGGGCTGGTGAATCCCACAGAAACGGCTGACCTGAACAAGGTGGAGCTCATGGACCTCAGACTGATGGCTTTGAGGCCTGCATGGGACTGATCCAAACCCCCTGAAGGTGGGTGTCAGTGAGGAGGCCTTGGCAATCTATGGGGTCTCTGGTAGTGGATCAGTATTTATCCCTGGTATAAGAATGGACTTTGGAAGCCCATTCCACGTGGAGGGATGCTCTCTCAGCCTGGACACATGGAGGTGGGCCTAGGCCCTGCCCAGATGATATGACAAACATAGGGGATACCCATGGAGGGCAACACCCTCCATGGGGAGTGGAGGGGGGATGGAATGAGGGGTTGGTGGGGTGTGGGGGAGAAGGGGAGAGACAGGGAGCTTGCATTGACATGTAAAGCAGGCTAGTTTCTAATTTAAATAAAAATAAATACAAAAAAGATTGTGGATAGACAGTGATGCTTACTAAATACCATCTTCAGATCATATCTTCAATC